CCTGGCCAAAATAATTTCAGCTTTCTCCATCTTGAAATGTCTACTATTATATTTTTCCAAATCTATTAATAGTTATTTTTATAAATGTCTTTATACTTTTTTGTCAAATTAATTCTTAGATAGCCAACCTTTTTTTTTTTTTTGAAGTACTATTGAACTCTGCTTGTTTAAAGCAAATGTTTAGAGGCTCCAGTTGCTTATCTTTATTGATCTAAAAACCTGACAGTCTAAAAACCTGACAATACATTGCTATATGTATTCCACTAACAATACTAAAGAACCCTTTGAGTAAGTAAATGTATGTACAATTTCAATTTATGTTCTTGATTTGCTAACTTGACTCCTGAAATTGTATTTTCTAAGGTATTTTCATTGCAAATAGCTCTAGTGTATTAGAAACCTTCTGCTTTTATTTCTGAATTCTATTTAGATTGCTTTGCTTGCTCATCTTGACTATTTTCTGTTTTCATCCTTTCTTCAGTATGGAGCACGCTGAGCAATCACTTTAAGATTCCTTTTTGAGTATGCTCTAGATCAAACCTTTAACCACTAAGGAGGGGGGAAGAATCAAACCAAAATTGCAGCCATTATGCACCATGTGTAAGATTAAGTTTATAAATTCTTAAACAAAAAATCAAAGTAGGGCAAATAAATACATGGAATATTTGTGAATCTGTATGGAAATAAACTATGTTCTTTTCTAGATTATAGATTGGGTAAAAGTAGACAAGTTTGGACATCAGCCTGTCATACAATTTTTAGAGCTTGCTCTTTTGTTGTTAATGTTGTTGTTTTCTTTGTGTGTGTGTAGGATGATTGTAATTTCAGTTATGGAGACTGGGGGAAGGATCATCATTCAGGTATGCTGTTATTGATAGCATGGCAATGGTCTTGCTGGATTAAACTGTGGTCTATTTATCCCAGTATTTTTTTTTTCTAGCAACAGCAAGCCATTTACCAATGCAAATACCAGTTTATTTTTGAATGCTTTTGTTCTCCAAAACCTGTACCCCACAACTCGGCCTGACCTGGTATGGTCTAGAGAAACCTCTCCAGCCTAATGTCCTCTAAACATGTGGGCCCATCTTCCAGAATTCCACCTCGCATGGCCAATGACTGTAGAGTGTGCAAGCAACAGTCCAGAGAGGGGTACAGATGTTTTTCATCTGAGGCTTGAGGAGGCACTTTGGCCCAACATACAATTTTGTTTTTTAGACTGAGCTTGGAGAAGACCATCCTGTATGTTTTGCAGAGGAAGCTGGCTCTCCACAGTACTGTCTGTCTTGAAAACTATCAGGATTTTTTGTTTTGTTTTGTTTTGTTTTTGTCCTTCCTAAAGGAGCTTTTCCAAGGTTTTTAGGATATATTCTGCTTTTTAAAAGGGGGATGGAGATGGTGACAGAACAGAATTTTGCTCTTAGAGCACTACAAAAATAAAAAAAAATTAATTTAAAAAACTAAGAGACTGCCTAAAGCAAGAAGTCTTAGAACAGTGTTTCTCAACCTTGGCAACTTTCAGACAGGTGGACTTTGACTCCCAGAATTCCTGAGCCAGCATGCTGGCCGTGGACTTTTGGGACTTGAAGTCCACCCATGTGAAAGTTGCCAAGATTGAGAAACACTGCTCTAGAAGCATAGTTTGATTCACTGGGTCTGCCAATGTACTGTGGGAGTGGAGGGATCTGGCATTCAGCTGCAGCAGGGAGGATGTAGAACCACTGGTGTGTTTTGCTCCCTATTTCTTATCTCAAGCCATACTGTAGAAAGACAAAAGAAGGGAAAGCTTCCCTTACTCCATAATTCAGCATTTCCAGAGCCTGGTCTGCTTTCCTTTTGCTTTCCACAATATATTAAGCATAAATCAAGAAAGTATTCTTTCAGTTCCTGAAAGGGGAAAGACTTTTTTTTCTAAATTGTAAATTGTGGCCCATTTTACTCTTGCATGCCAAAATATTTGCTATAGTGTATGACAAATTACTCACACTCAGTGAGTATAAACCTTCCTTTTGTACATTAGTCTGGCTTGTATGAGGCATATCCAAAACAGTAAATCACGGAGGAGCGGCCATCTCTGAGGATAGGTAATTATTTAATTCTCCTGCTACTTTTCATGGTGAGCATCTCCAATGCAGATAATAGTTTGAGGAGAGTAAACCACTCAAACAAAGCACAGTAGAAATAACTACACTGATAAAGAGCTCAGTTTTAGCAAATTTAAATCTAAACTCTGGTGGATTATATATAACTCTGTCCATGATGCCTGTATAAATAGTGCATCTGAGTTTCCTGATGCTGATGCTGATGCTGATGCTGATCTGCCAGGCAGATCATCATCTGTCACAGGACTGTGACATCATCGCTGTGGTTGGGCTCTCAGTGGAGATTAAGGGGAAAATACTCGTGTGTCCTGAATGGAGTGATAGAAAAGATGAGATAAGTAAAGTCAGAGACTTGTTTGCTCACAAGACAGTCAGTATCATCAATAGATCCATGAAAGTGAGAGATTGCTTTAGAATAGTGATGGCGAACCTACTACACGTGTCAAAGGTGACACGCCACAACATTCTGGGTGATGTGCCAGTGTTCACCAACACCTGACAACAACTATTCTCCCTCTTTGAGTTACCAAAGAAACTGAGTTTGTTTTACTCATATTTCATTTTTGTAATTATTTGACGTTTTTTATATAATACACCACACATGATTGGACTGTATTTTTTAAAAAATAAATGAATATGTAAAGAATTGTTCTGTTTTGTTCGGGGGGGAGGGGTGACATGCCAGCAGAGTCAAGTTAGACATTTTCCGAATGTTTGACACGCCGAGCCCAAAAGGTTCGCCATCACTGCTTTAGAATCAGCTTAGATAGAAACAGGTAAGTGAGGCGTCCCAGATGGCAGCCAGGTCTTTCTTGTTGGGTCATTCTACGAATTAGAAACAACCCAGAGTTGCCACCTCTAAAACATACTGGGATTTTTAATGAAAAATAGAGGCTTTGCACATTTGATGAACACCTGGCAACAAAACATCAGTTTCAGCTTTCATTCATAATTGTATTTCTCTGCTAGGGTAAATTGAAACTACTGAATGTTTATGTCTGCTGCTTACTCCATCCAGTTCAATCTGTCTTTCACCTCTATCTTCTCTGTAGATCTGATGATGATTATATGCCCAGGTCAATGCTGACTTTTAGTGACTACAAACAAGGGCCAAATGAAGAGTAATGCTTCCACCTCCATAACTTTAGTTTAAGTAGAGACATTTTAATATATGAAACAGGAAAATAATCCTTGAAATGAGTATTTTTGCTATCTATAATTACTTCCCCACATAATCACCACCATTCACTGCACATTTCCGCCAACAGTGGATGAGCTTCTTAAAGCTGTCGTGAAAGAACTCCACACTGTCTGTTCAACCTGTTCTTGACAGTCCTCTCCAGCTGTTCCAGCTCTGCCATTTTGAAGCAACGATTAAGAAGAGTTCAGAAGCACAAGAAGGAACTTCTGCTGCAACATGACAATACCAGACCTTGCACCTTGAGCCACCCAAGAGGCAATTGCAAAGTTGGATCTCATTATGCACCACATAGCCCAGACTTGGTACCCTGTGACTATTTTATTTTTAGATTTTTTTTTATCCCGCCTTTCTTATTTTTATAAATAACCCAAGGCGGTGAACATACCTAATACTCCTTCCTCCCCCTATTTTCCCCACAACAACCACCCTGTGAGGTGAGTTGGGCTGAGAGAGAGGGACTGGCCCAAAGTCACCCAGCTGGTTTTTGTGCCTAAGGCGGGACTAGAACTCCCAGTCTCCTGGTTTCTAGCCTGGCACTTTAACCACTAGACCGGACTGGCTCTCTACTTTGCACCTTTTCCCAACATTGAAGGAATACCTTTGCGTACATCTGTATGAGATGGAATGTACTGACAGACCTGACTAAAGAGAAAAAGTGTGGAGTTCTTTCCTGATTAATTTATTAAAATGTTTATTTAAACCAGAATTATAGAGGTAGGGGCCTTACTTTTCATTTAACCCTCATAGATATTTCTCCAGGATGATCTGCCCTCAACCTGGTTGTTCAGTCCTTCCAATAATGCACTTATTGCCTCTGTAGATCTACTTTCAGCTAAACCTCTGATCATTTAATCATAACATTTATCATTTATTGATCATGTCAGGATGTCCCAAACACTTGATGTGCATTGCTTTATTATAATCTTTTAGGATATTTAATTTTTGATAATTTATTCGTAACATTCATCATTTACTGATCACTTCAGGTTGTCCCAAACGCTTTATGTGCATTGCTTTGTTATAATCTTTTTACGATATTTTAGGCCAGTGTTCTTAGACCCATATTGCTGATGGAGGAATTGAGGCAGAGTGGCCGTGAGCGACTGGGATCACCTACTATGTTCATTTAGAGGTGATGTTTGAATTAGGATTTTCCTGATTTGTAATTCTGTCACTGTATTAGACAGTTCTCTCACAACTCCATGTCACGCAAAGAGAAAATTATCAGCAACTACCCCAGGAAAAATATACCCTGATCCCTGGCTCTTTAATCTGAATGTAATAGTAACATAATTGTGAGGGGTTTTTTTCCTATAGCATTTCATACCTTATCTTCCAGTTCAACTTTTCAGTCATCCTCACAAACATTTCAGTGTTGATATGGTGGTTAGAAAGTTGAAGTGGAATGGAGGCAGGATGGGTTCAAATCGCTACTCAGCTGTAATTATCTTGACCCATTTCTTCTCCTAGCCTACCTCATTAGAGTCTTGAGAGAATAATATGGGAAAGTTGTCTTTCCCATAATATGGGTATATGCTGTCTTAAGGTCCTTGGAAATAAAATAGGATGCAAGCGTAATATATAATTTGTATCGCATCGTATTTTGTAGCCGTTACCGGCAGATATGTTTGGTGCCTTTACTGAAACATTTTCCTCTAGCTGTTTGGGCCATTTTTATGTTTCATCTTCTGCCTTTGCAGGGATTGAAAAACTGGAGAAGTTTGTATATCTTCAGAGACAAGATCCACAGAGAGTTCCCATCTAGGACGGAGGCAAAGGTCAAGGAAAGCGACTTTAATATCCTATCAGACCTGTTTCCAGCCTACAAAAGCTGCCATGGAGCAGATCAGTAATTTTTTCCACTCCATCTGGTCGTTCATCTGCTTAAAACATCAGGAGGGCATCTATAACACGGTCTGCCTCGCTGTTTTGTTGGGGTTACCTGTTCTCGTCCTCCTTGTTGGAATGTTCATCTGTTGCCATTGTTGTTTTTGCGGCCGGCCGCAAAGGGACAAAAGTAGCCCCAGCAGTCCAACCCAAGGGAAGAGAAGAAATAATATTATGAAGAAGAAGAAGAAAAAGAAGGAAGAGGACCTGTGGATTTCAGCCCAGCCCAAAGTGCTCCTGCTGGAAAAGAGGCCATCATTGTTGGTCTAGAGGAAGGCAGGTGGACAAGAGTTATTTCCCTTCTCATAATGTGTTCAGCTCTGCATCATAAACCTGAGAACATATCATGCTGACTTACTTCCATATGAGGGAAGCTACTTTTTAAGCTTAGGAATGTGGCTGGCATTTTTAAGTTGGACATACGTTTTACAAGCAAGCTGCAACATTGCACCCATCCAGAATGAATGAATGGTGCTCATCCACTGAATACATATTACTTCAGTGTACACCGAAGAATAAGCTTACATTGACTCAGTAGCACATTTTACTCTACAACTAGGCACTCGTGGCCTTAGGATGCAGAATTCAAACTAGATTTTTTGCTTTGCCTAACATAGCTTGCACTGAAAGCTTATGTGCACTAGTAAGTAAGAAAGCAAGTAAACACTGCTGTACACATGTATGTATATTACCATACACATTTACTTATACAATCAGATGCACTGATGTGTAAGCCAAGATACTGGTTTTTAAAAGGAATTATATCATCATGGAGGAGAAGTCTATCGATGATTATTTGCCTAGTTTTGGAAGAAAGTTGCTGAGCTAGTTGGGCCCTTGGTCTGAACATTGGAGCAAATAAGGAGTCCCCTTATTAATAAAATTGTCTCACATTCTTCTCCATATGTTATCTAGTTAGGGTTTTATAAGTTTTGTAATTGTTACACATTGCTCAGCTTACCAATAATATCAGCTTTCATAAGGGCTAGGTTTTTAGGACTTCTGGCTATGCTGACAGCTTAATAAATACCAAATTTTGTGGTGGGGGGAGTTTAAGGATCAGAAAGATGAGACCTTAATGTCCCACAAGTAGCAGAAGAATAAATTACACAAAATATGCACATATATACAATTTATTTTTCCAGCACATCAGTCTGTATCTATCTCCAAACATCTGGAACTCTTATTTACAGTTCTGCATTGCAGTCTTTGGATTAAGAATGCCAGGGTTACAGATGACCCCTAGTTAAGAACGGAGCCTATTATAGCAATATTTGAGTTAAATACACAATGGTTCGAGTTCATTACACAGTACTACTTATACAGTATTATACAATAATACTGTTCCGACTTACATACAAATTCAACTAAAGGACAGACCTTGGGAACGGAACTCATTCTTAAACTGAGGACTACCTGTACTCATACACCAAGTTATGTGGAACTTCTGAATAACTAAACTGAAGATTGGGCTGTGAAACATTTCTCTGAAAGGTTAGATCAGTATAAAGAATACCAGTAGGTGAGAAATTTGGTGTGGGAGGGAACCCTCCAGCCTGGGAACAACAGAGAAATAATAAATCCCTTGGTCAGGGCAATTGCAAATATGTTTTTGCATTTTCATGAAAAGTGTGTCTATGTGCTTAGATTAGGCAATGGAGTGATATACCAGTTTGTTACCAATTTATGTCCTGTGCCTTATTTTTGGACCTGCATCCTAGGCTTACCCTAGAGTTCATTAAAAAGAAACCAACAACCTTTATATTTAAAAATAAATTTATTTTAATGAAATTGCACTTGATTACATTTTGTGTCCCAACTTCTGTTATTTATTTACTAATTGAAGAAGAAAATGAATTGTTCTGTTGTTTTTCTAACTCCAGGGAGCAGTTAGCTCAAAAATAAAAGCATAATCAAATGTAGATTGTTATCTTAAATCAGATGACAAACACATGTAAAAAAACTCCCTCTCTTCTCACTAGATTTTTGTCTGTATAATGTACTGAGGACTGCCAGATGTTTTCCTTCACTCTGGACTCCAGACTTCGTGCTCCAGTTCATGTATCCCTCTCTCACCCACAAACAGAAGTTCTGCTCCCATAACCTGCTTAGAGTTAGTGTGTTGTGGGAATCCAAAAGGGAAACAGTTGGCCCAGTCAATAACCTCCAGTAGGTTAAATTCAACTGCAAACAGACTCAGTCATCCACAAGGTTACACGAATTCCACCTAGTCATATGGTACCTAGACCAAGTCAACAGACCCATTTTATGTATCTAGTCCTCCAATAAAAGGAATATAAAGCAGCTGAAAAAGCAAGCCTTTCAATTAGAATTCGTTGCTGAAGTCTGACAGCGGAGAATATACCTCCTACACCCGGACTGGTACCACTAGCCAAGTCGTGTAAGGAGGGAAGGCAAGTCCATGAAGCCTTGCCAACACTCTCCTGGTGCAAGGACTCATTGACGTTACCTGAAGAAAATAGAGAATCTGTGTTCCCCAAATGGAATTCTTTTAGGAGTATGTATTGTGAACATTGCTAAGGGAATTGGGCTTGTAGTTGACTGGGTTAAGCATGTTGTAAGAACGGCCTTGCAGTGCAACAACAGAGTATATATTAGTATGCTGTGAACTGACACTATATTGTCCTGCATGCTAAATCAATTGGCCAAATATTGGTTTTGATATTTTTGTTATAACTAACATAGATACCTTTTTTACATAAAATGTAACTTCAAATATACTCTGATTAACTTATCAACAGATAAAAGATGATATGGTCTTCTTTTTAATGTTAAGAATGGAAAGAATTCTGAATGGCAGTTGTATATTCTATTCCAAAAAATTGGGATTAGCCTTGTTTGATTCTGTAGGGCTTCCATATTTGGGCTGCAGAAATCTAGAGCATCATTAAATGGCAGCAAAGAGGTAGAAAAAACTTGGCTGTCATCAAGGGAGCTTCCAGATTTTTGCAGCCCAGGTCTGGTAACCCTACCCTTGCTTTAAGTGCCACATGTGAATTGTCCTCCATCCTCACCTCTTATGCTGCCTGCACCTTTTCTCTGAAACCCATCTACCCCCGCACACCATACCATTGTTATTCCTCATGAAATGTGTATGATAATGCCAGCACAGTATTGCCATTATAATCTGTGCCACTAATTTAGCATAGCAGTTCTTGTGCCTGATATGTCACTTTTGTGGCACAGATCTCTCTTTTAGCTTTATTCCAGAGATGCTGTGTAGGTAAGCAATAACCATCTCCTTTGGAATTTATTCTTTAATGACTTCACTGAGTTTTACTCTTCTGTATAAGAGATTCAAGACGTGCAAGGAATATTATGATTTAAACTGATTGGACGATGGATGTGCAATAGTTGTGCATTGCAGAGGGAGCCTTGAGTAACTGACAGTGCAATCCCATAGTACTAGTAATAGATCTGTTTCTACTGTTCAAAATTTAAGCCCCACCAGATCAATGACAAATCTAGGTAAATTGGAATAGGATTTCAGTATAGGGGTGGGGAGTGGGGTGAAATTCTATAATTACACATTTCCTGTAAAATCCTAAAACAATAATTATAAAAATACCTTTCTTATTTAGGATTGCTTAAGGATCACCTCCGCCTGTGAATAAACTTCTATTTTTAGTAAATAAAAATCCGCAGAGAACACCAAAGGAGACAATCGTTTACAAATGTATGTTCTGACTAGCTTATCTCCTTAATCATCTGGACCCCAAATCAGTGGGAAGAAAAAAATGTTTTTCTTGATCTGTCATTGCAGAATCTCAACTACTTTTTAAAAACCAGGATACTTGGAAAATCCTTAACATTTAGGAAAATATGTGTTTCTTGTATTAATCATTGCTTCTGTAACATTTAGTATAGAAAGCTCTTAGAATAGACATAGTAACAACAGAAACTGAAAGACACTTGCAGAGGCAAGCCTCTTAATTCCTGCCCAAGTTGAGGTTTTAACCAGTTCCATAGGTGTAAACATAGTCCTAACACCAATTCATTTGCACAAAGAGTCAGTATTAAACGCTAGAGAGTGTTAACATGCCTTCATATCTGTGCTAGGGGAAGAGTTCTTATCAGATTGAAAAACCAAAGCTTTTCTTGTCACTTTTCACATTTGTCACACATATGCTGTCTAGAGGGTTCTGATGTGGCAAAAGCAGCCAGCAAAATTGGAAAAGCAGTGTGCTTTATAAGATAAGGCACAATAGAGGCAACATAGAAGTACCAGGTGTGGCCATATCTAAGGCCAGCCACAGATGCCACTGTATCTCTTGTGTAGTGCTAATAGCATATGAAGGCCAAAGTATCTGAAGAGCTCCCAGCTGGGGGAAGATGAAGGGTTAGCACATGCAATAATATTTTGGCATAGATAAAAACACACCTGAGGACAAAAATCATATATATTTTAAGAGGGCATTTCTTTGTACAGAGGAAAGAATATTTCATGATGTGGGTTCCACTTGCAATGTATTTCACTGAGAACTAGGCCTACACTTTGTAAATGCTAGAAAGGCAGATTCGCCAATGAAAGGACAAAAATTTATCTTCCAAACAATACTTGCATGATTTTATTCCTCTTGGAAATGGAAACAATGCTGATAGAATTGTCTTCTTTCTAAGAGAAATACTGGAGTTCCTCATTTCAACTTGCTGATAAATACATGAAAAGCAAGGGTTTTTTTTTTTCTCATACAGAAACTTTCTTTTCTGGAAGTCATGTTCAAATAGAACCTGAAACTCTGAAAATGATGATATTCAGGTTAAATTACAATACATACCTTGTTGAAAACACAGCTTATAGAGCATTGTTTCTTCAATTACCCCTTTGATTTTGCAAAGCTGAATCACCAGACTCAGCAGGCCAAGCTGACCTTTGTAAAACCAAGCCAAAGAAGGTCCTGCAATGCTTCCATTTAGTGCTGTACCCTACCTTGCCTTGGGTTCTCAAAAAGCTGTGGACAACTGAGTGCCATAAGCTGTCTCGCTATCAAGTACAGAGGGTTAATGCAGGGCTGGAACGGGGCTCTCTACCTTAGCTGTTTCAAATAGCTGGTGGAACTAGAGGCCACTACAGTCACAGGGAGCTTTCAGATATACCACCACCACCACCATCTCCACCACTTTGAGAACATAACTGAGAATCTGGGGCTTTCCAGTTACTTAAGTAATGCAGATATAATGCAAGTAACACAAATGTAGTGTGTGTTTTGTGGTGTTCCCAACCAATTAAACCAGAAAATATTTCTAAGGATGCCTTGAATTAGCTGATGTGATTATATTTATATTCAAATGTGCACCAAAGGCCTGACACATCATTACATGATCATGTGTTGCTGTGTGTGTTTGGCAAGCCCAGCACTTCCAGAAGACTTTTAAACTCTAGGCTCCTTCCTCTCCACAGCCAGAGATCTCCGTTTTCTGCTCAAGATTGGCTCAGAGCTACGTGAATGTGGGCGGATCTTCATCTCAGTGTAAGGGATGGAATATAAATGGCCTTTCCATGGCTCCCAGTTAACTCCCTGGAAAGAAAAAAATCAGTGAGCTTATTAGATCAATTTTTTCAATCTATGGACAAATGTGCAAAATGTTACTTACAGTGATAATACAAATAATCACAACCATAAATCATATCATTATTCAACTATTGTTAGGGCTGAAACAACTTTGTAGATTAGGTCCAGTATAAAAATCTTTTAAGACAGATTGATAAATTGTCTAATTAGATCCAACAATAACTACACTTACATGGCACTTCACATAAATTACCTTGTAATTAGGGATGTGCAGCCCTTCTGATCTGAAGCAGGAAAGGTGCTTCCACAAGGGCAGGGAGGTACACACTGTATCTCTGTATCTCTTAAAGAAAAGGCATCTTTGCTTGGGCTCACAACCATGCAGTCCCAGGAAAATACACATTTGCAATAAAGAGGCACCAACAGCATATCCATATCCATTTTGAAGCCCCTTATCATACAGGTGGGCACCTTCTTAAACACAATTTCCTGGTATTGGGGGCTACTGTGCAAACCCAGGAAAAGATGCAGCTTCTTTAAAAAGGCACCAGCAAATGTGGTGCAAGCACCCACTCCCCTTCTGAAGCACCTTTTCTGCTTCAGATCCAAAGTGCTGCACATCTCTACCTGTAACCCTTTCAACAATTGTGCATGCAGGCCAATGTTATAAGCCTTCTGTTGTATGCCTATGAGAGAAGGTCCTTAGGCAAGAGAAAATGGCATGCTGAAGTTTGCTGAGATGAGATTATAATCAGAACTAGTTAATATCATGGGACATGGCTTGTGATAATAGCATGGAAAGATTATTTGCAGCCAACACGATTCACATGATTAATACTACTACTACTACTATTGATGATGATGATGATGATGATGATGATGATGATGATGATGATGATGATGATGTGGGATAGGAGCTTCACAAAATCTGAGCATTTTAGCCTTCAGTATCTTCTAACAGCCGGCACACGGGGATCAAACTGAAAAAGCTTGAATGTCAAATACAATATAATATGTATGATATTACAGACATCTTTGTGACTTCAAAGAAGGCAATGTGGTTTGGTGGCTAAGATGTTGGACTATGATGGGAGAGGCCAAACATGAAGCCTATCATCAGCTATAGGAATTCATTGGGTCACTTACTGTCTCTCAGCCCAACCACCTTACAGAGGTACTCGGTGAAGAAAAGGAGGGAGTGCTATGTATACAATCTTGAGGCCATGGGAGAAAGGGGGGATAAAAGTCTAACAAACAGATATTATTATTTGTTGAGATTCTTCATGCAGAAGAATCTCAACAAACTGAATCATCTCAAGCAAATGAAAAGCAATAGACTGGAAAGGCCTGGCTTGAATGCAGTTGAACAGTGTCATATAATAACTAAAAACATAATAAACCTGAGATGGGATTAACAGAAGCACAGTGTTCAGGTCACTCAGAATATTTATTTTTGTTTGGTTTTAATCAGGACATATTTGGGATGTTGCATCCACTTCTGGACACATTTAAAAAAGAACTTTTATAACTAGAATATATCTAGAGAAAAGCAACCAGGATGATAAAAAAGCTGAAAATAAAGGAATGGAATGAAACCTACAAGGAATGGATGAAACAATTGAAATAGTTTCAGGAATCATATTATATTAGCAGCTATCAATTATTGCTAGCAGATTCAATTTCTTGCTTCAGAAGAACAAGGTTTACAACCAATGGATGGAAATCAAAAGGAGGTGGATTTCATAATGTTATGAGAAACTTTCTAACAGTAAAAGCTGTCCAGCATTGCAGCGATCAGCCTAAAAGAGGGATGAAGAGCTCACTTCACTGCAGTTATTTAAGCAGAGGCTGGACAGCCATTGGAAATATGACAGTAGCAGATTCCACACTGAAGAGAGTTTGACTAGGTGATTTTCAAGGCACTTTCAAATTTTATGAGCTTCAGTAATAGAATCTTCCTTTCCCCAATAGATGTGTCATTATATATGCTAATCAGATAGCACCTTCTGCAGTCTATAGAAGTGCTATTCTTCTATTAAATAGTTATTGAATATGTATCATTATTATAGTTGATTTTTTAAAAATTAAATGTGTATACGTATGCATCCATATAAAAACAGATCTGAAAAAAATGTCTTATTTTTAGATCTTATCTTAAAGCCATATCTTAAAAGGGGCATTCCCTCCTATGTAGAAAAAATGGAGGAATGACCCTTAAGATACTGTTTGCCATCTACACGTATATTTTAATGAAAACAAAGTTAAAGTATTGTTAAAATCTTCTACCAGATTAATTCGGATCACTGTAAGCAGTGCAATTCATTGAACAGATTCATTGATTCTTTTTTTAAAAAAAATTGCATAAAGGCTACAACCTTAAAAATAAGGATTCTTTGCATTATTTAAGAATCAAGCGATGGTAGAAAAGCTCTTTTCCTTTCATAGTCTGATTAAGACGGTCCAAACACTTAGCTGCTATCACAAGAAGTGTTGACAGTAATTTATGTATACTTGAAAAGGATCACACGCAATCTAGACAGATTTGTACCAGACTCACCTCGCTGTGCTTGTGATCTCCATACTTCCCATTGAGATTAGCCAGGTGGCAGTTCTTATACCACCAGCCACCGTGGTGTGTTAGAGCGCAGTTGGTGATAGCTATGTCGTTGTCCCTGTCTAAGGTTGTAAATTTCCTACCATTATGGTAAGTCATGGCATCCCCTTAGGAGAGAAAGGGAGCATTAGAAGCATGGTATTTCTAATTTCAGAAATGCCTCTGATCACTGACTGGGAAGACCTGCCCTGAGTGGGAAGAAATGCAGACAAATGCCTTTCAGTGCCTTAACACAGAGAGACAGACACATGTAGGCAATCAACCAAATAACAGATACAAAATCTTGCCCAAACATAATTTAATATCAACTAATCCTGGATTCCCCAATGCAATGCCCATGAGCACAAATGTCCCAGCAGTCACCTTTCTGGTTGCCATCAGGCTCCAATCAAGATTTTTTTTTTTTCAATCTGTCTTATTAAGAACAATTAACTGAGAAGCTGGCATGTTGCAAAGCAAAGTAGCATCCTATGTTGGCATCTTCATACAAAATACCTATAAATAGTCATTCACACCTTAAGTTGGATGGTGATGACTAGGAATGACTTAACCTCAAGGCGTCTCTCAGCACCAAGTTCCTTTTTCCTCTTGGGAAAAACTTCATTCTCCCCACCTGATATCATCAGCCTGACTACATGAAAGTTTTCCCTGGCCTTTAAAGTTACTGGAAAGTGACTAAGGGCAGCCTTTTACCAAGGAAATAGAAAGACCATGGCCCTAGCAGAATTTCTCACCTTCCAGAAACTGGCTTTTCCTCATCTGATCCATTTTCTTCCCTTCCTGAAACATCAGATTGTGGGTAAAATTTCAAAGGGTTTTTTTGTACACTTGAACCAGAGAAGGGAATGGGCAAGAGGTGGGAGGAAGAGGGAGCCAAGAAGTGTGTATATGTGTTTGTGGGTAAAGGATTGTAAATTTATTTCTTGACCTTGGCTGAACTACCTTCTTTCTGGGTGAATATATTATGGTTTCAAATAGATTAGTTTGTTCATTGTTGTTCAAACTTTGAAACTGCTTTTGCTTGTCAGGCAGACAAAAGTATAGGTATTTCACAGATAAGTCAGTTCTGTGATCGTCTATAATTTTTCTTAATTATATGAAATGGAATGGGAATGATCATCATGCCATGGGAGCAGCATGAGAAGACATGCTGCTGTGTAGTGAATGTTTGGTGTATATTTTTTAATTTAATTTTGCAACTGGGCACTTTCATCCTTTGTGTGTGCACAAGCCCCTTATGGAATCCATTTGCTAAGAGTACACCTGATACACAACATTTCCAAATTGCCCTTGATAATATAATATATTCAGGGAGCCCTGAGAAATGTTTCGCTGCTCAGATAGAGGTGAGAAATATGTGTGATCATACAGAGATAAAAGAAGTTTTTACCAGCAGTGCCTCTGTAGTTTCCCAAAGACAGCTTGTATCGGTCTCTGCTGGAGCCCACTTGGAAGAGGTCATACATGGCATAGGCTGACTCATTGTGAGTCTGTAAATCCACCCTCAGCTCATAGGGAATGTGGGCAGACCTGGTGAGGTTATGCAGTTTTTCAAGTCCTAAAAAAAACATTCCAGAGTAAAACTGAAAGCAGGCTGTCAAACAAACTATTATATTCCTGACATCTTTATGCCAAGTAAGAATTCTTTCTTGTAATAAGAGAAGGAGCCATTTGTATAGGATAAACAAATATTATACAATCATTTCACTGGGCATGCCACTTTACACCAGTTCATTAATAGAAATACTTCAATTTCCCATAGTAAGAGAGAGAGAGAGAATATTAGCTCTTCCAAGTAGATAATAAAAATGGTTTACTATTTATATAACCAATTAGCTGCTCTCCAGCAAAGTTTATGATGGAAATACACATGCCATGTAGTGATAGGAAACTTAAAAAAAACTACAAACCGAACATTAAAAAGGAGCTGATTCCACCACCACCACCACCCCATCCCCAGTAGCAAATGATTTTCAAACAACATTATGACTCTCTATGGCACTGCAGAGCACTACATGTACAGAGCTTTACGTACAGTGAGATAGCACCAAATGCAGTTGCCAAGCTTTTAAAAAAAAAATAATAAAACTCATAGAATCTGAGCGTACTTTGGCACACTGTAGGGATTCTTCCCAGCCCTTTCATTTCTTAGAGGCCTCCAGACTTCACATGGGCCCTTATCATACCCTGGGACAATCAAGATACCAAGCATGACTAGGGTTACCAGATGTCTGGCAAAAGGAGGCCATGTCCTCCTTTTTGTCCTCATGTCCTCGTCCTGCAGGCATAGCCTTAACGTCAAATATTGTCCAGCTTTTCAAGTATCTAACAAGCTACCTCTTCCTGAGCAGCTCTCCAGGGCACAGCGCTTCCCTAATTAAGTGCTGACCGCAAGTTAACAAGCCGTGCTCTGCTCTCTGACCTTGATTAGTTGATTAGTATCCTCTGCTGCCTGAAATTGACAAGACTGTAATCAGTTTACACCTTGAAAAGGCTTTTGCCTCCTAGCTGGCAAACAATCACACATTCCTGTGATTGAAAAACCAGTCTTTCTGATGCTGGAAAAGGTAATTTCATATACATGTAGGCCTGAGTACTTTTTTTGTGTGTGTGCAGTTTTTCACTTGTGGATGCCAAGAAGTGTGTCCTCCTTTTCCCCATTTGTCCTCCTTTCCAATTGTCCGTGTCCTCCTTTGCATGTTCAGAAATCTGATAACCCTAAGCATGACTGAAGATGTGCTCTGCAATATGCTATACTCTTCTCTTCATTAAAAGAAAAAAAGAAGTTTCTGTCTTTGCTACTGCCTGTTAATGAGGGGAATGGTGAAAAGGAGTAGAGAAAAAATCCAGGGGAGAGTCAAGAAAAGAGCCAAGACCAAGAAAGTGGGGACTCTCCATGTACATTTGTCTGAGAAGCTCCTTTGAAGGAAGCTTCCAACTTTCCACAGCACCAATTTATTAATGTACTAAAAAGCTTAGTGACTTGTGAAGGTTGGCTAGATCTGGGAAGGAGGAAAGGAAAAGTCTCAACAATGCATAGAGGAAGAGATATATACAAGCTCCAGGAACAGGATGCTGAACCTATATGTAGAGAAGTTGCATTGAGGCTGCTATGTAATGGTTGTCTTCAGTCAAAATTGGGAGGGTGGATGAGACAAGAATTCTATCAATGAGAAAAGGGATCACTCACCAGAACTACAAGGCCCCAGCAAGAGCTTTCTGGAAACTTCAAAGAAAGTGAAGTCAAAACTAGCTGTTTTATGGTTTCCAATAAAACAATTTAGAATCAGAAATAAATTGACTCAGATCCCAAAAGGAGATGGCATAAGGGCAATCAGATCTGATGTTCATCCCAAAGTGGTGCAAACCTCACTCTTTCTTTTTTTACACTACTGGAGCACGGCTGCTAGTGTGGGCAGCTCAGCCTGCCATGAGATTTAAAAAGAAGTAGTGTTGAGGATCTAAGAGCTGGGGGTGCGGAAGGAATAGTGTGGAGATTCAGTACCCCTCATCAGAAAATTAGAATCCTTTAATTAGTATTGTTCCATTAATGGTGGCTCTTCTAATCAGCCTGCATATCCATCTTGAATTATATTCAGAAAACAATAGTACCAAGCCAAAATTCTCCAGAAGGACTTCCAAAGCCTTCAACATAATTCTTCCATTTTTTAGAGAAATCCAGCTGCCCTGTGGACCTCCGCTGAAACATCTGCAAAAGGAGGCAGAAGCATATAAATGTAGGTTGACTGAATACTAATTCTACATATACAGTATCAAAGACAGAAGAAAAATTGAAGATAAATTGGTTCATAATCCAGTATATATACGTAAACTAGAAGCTATATAATGTTACAACTGAAATTCTCCCTGGATTTGAGAGTTCCAAATGATCCTATTTCATTACGGAGCAATCGTGATGGGCAAGCTATCCATTTTTCTTTCTCCTTTGATATCCAAATCATTTCAGCTACACCATTTTTTAATTCACCTCTTCCCCCTACTTTTTCATTTCCATGTTTCCTGGTTATAATAGCATATGCATACAATGACTCACAGCAAATGAGGTATCCTCATGTGGTCTCATTAAGATTATTTGTTTGTTCAGAGAACTAATTAATATGCTCTTTTGTGTATCAAAAGCCTATAAAGTGAGAAAGAAGGAAACTGTACCAGTTTCAAAATGAAAAGTCTGCATATGTGTGTAATATAGTGTATATATAGTGTGTGTGTGTGTGCGCGCACACACCCACACACATGCACACCTACACACACACACACACACACTCCATATTAAACCAGGAAGCAGGAAGAACAAAAGGTGAGACAGAAGATCAGCAATGGACACCCATGACTAACAATGGACTGTCCACATTTAGAATCAAGGTCTGCAGAGGTTACATGGGTAATTGGTTGCAATATCAGCACTGTGGTAAGTATGCAGGAAAAAAGGCAAACTCAGTACAGGTAGTCCTCAGTTAGTGCCTGCCTCAGACAGCAATTATTCCCAGTTACAACAGTGATGAAAAAGTAACTTTGTGACCAATCCTCACATTTATGACTTTTATAGGTCTGTAAAGCAAAGCAAAGCTGAAGTAAGATCATAAGCACAACCGTGGTTTCACTTAGTGACCACTTTGCTTAATGATCAAGTTGCCGGTCCCAGTTGTGGTTGCTAAACGAGGACTACCTGTATTGGGAATAACTGAAACAGACTGAAATTAACCATGTTTTGAAAGCAATGAAAAGAACACTCACTATCCATCCCCCTCCATCGGTGGTCATGTCACAATATACTTCAAGGGGTCTATTGCTCTCGCCATTCAGGTAGATAGTATATAGGCCGCTGATGGAATGACCATTTTGCTGGGTTTGGCTGCAGTCCGCAGGGTAGGGATAACGCAAACTGACTTCAGGAACAAAGCAAATAAAAATTCACATTATCAAACCCAAATATGAAGATCAAAACACAGAAAGATCTTTGAACAACCTAGTGGCAAAAGAAGGCTGAGGCCAAGCAATGTAAGCCATTAACAGCAGAGAGAAAGAAAAGACACTAAGATAGCAAGGCAAGAATCTGTGCAAATGCTAGTCTAAAACTACTAAATACTGATAAGACTCTCTCTCTACACTTCCTTGGGAAAGTTTCATTGCTGCTGCTGCTGCTGCTGCTGCTGCTGATGATGATGATGATGATGATGATTAAAATTTATATGCCACCCAATTCCCAGCAACTTAGGAACATTTTGCATAAGACTGCATTTTAGGACCATGTCACTGCATTACTCAGAGTCATCTCTCCATAACCTTGTACCTCTCTACCTTCTACAACCTTTTTCACTTACAGATGGGTAGGAAAAGGAAAAGAAAAAGAAAAAAAGGAAGGAAAAGCAGGTATTTGCCCTGAAGAAGTTTTCTCATAACATTCTGTAAAATATATTTCAGTTATGGCGCTAGAGGAATAATAACCGTAATTGCCAGCACAGGTAGACAGCAGCAATTATTTATTCCTAATCTGATTGTTAAGGAAATTATCCAAGTTTAATTATCCAACCCCAGCAGAAATGACAGAAAGTGGAGCTGAAAATGGAGACATGGTGCAGCTGCAGACAGAATCCTGTTGCTCTTTTGAAATTCCCTGATATCTTACTGAGGCCCTGACAGCCTTCTGCTCTGGCCACCTGAGTTGGCCATTCTGGACTTTGTTGTCCAATATATTTTCTGAACAACAATGATGGCTTAAAAGCTCTTGCTTGGTCTTTGAGAGCTCTATTGTGCTTTCCTACTTAATAAGTACGCTAACTTTTTTTAAAAAAATGTATCTTCTTTTGACTGTAAGTTTCCAATTGATTCTCCAAACAGGGAAGGGCACTTGGATAAATTTCAAACAGCAAAACTGTCATTGTATTGTCAAAGGCTTTCGCGGCCGAAATACAATGGCTGATGTGGGTCTTCCGGGCTGTGCGGCCGTGTTCTGGAAGTTTTGGTTCCTAACGTTTTGCCAAAACTGTCATTTATTCAGTCTAATAGCTATTCTATTCTATTCTATTCTATTCTATTCTATTCTATTCTATTCTATTCTATTCTATTCTGAATTAGTAGACTGAGCTGGACTCTTCTCCCACTAATTTCTCT